GCACCTGCATTCACCCCTCTTACTTTCTGTTTCAGAAACTTGTTCGGACAGAAGCTTAAATTGACAAAATATTTGGCCCAGCTGCTGACAACGCTTCTCAGTGACTTCCAGTTTCTCATATCCAAAGCCTCTGGGAAAACAACAAACATAAAAACCGGAGAAACCCAGGATGCTGGCGGCTGTTTTTCTAAGCTCTGTGTGCTGAGCACGACAACCTGTCACCTTCCAGTCTGGCTTAGAGCTGAGTTCTTTAAAGATAACATCTAAGTTCTAAATAAAATTCAGATGATGTTTTAAAATTATTTCTGTCGTCTGTTTTTGTAAATAAATGTCTTTTTTTCTCCTTTTTACTGTTAGGACGGGACACTGTTTGTTTTGATAAGGTCTAAACAACAGCGTTGTTATACTCACTGGCTCACCCACAGCACCCCACACAGACACGAACGTACACACGGGTCAGCAATTTGACTCTGAATGTCCCGAGGGAATCACGCCCTCAGCCAAAGTAACTTTTTCCAAGGGTTGACCGTTTTTCAAAATAGATGCGGTAGTTCTGATATAGCAATGGATGCAAAACTCGCTGAGCATAACCTGAGGTCAGCTCGCCCTGGACCACTGGCACGCTCCCCCGAGCATCCCCGGGAGGCACGGGCAGTCACCCGGCGGCGGAGGGACGCTGCAGCGTCAGCACTGACTGCACCAAAAACCTGAAAGCAAGCCGGGTGCCCCGTCATTCCCAAGGGAAAACTGGGCGGACACGGCGATCGCACCTCACCCCAGAGCTCTCGGCTGCTCCTTTGCAGGTGGGGCTGAGAGGAAAGTGCCGGACGGGACAGCATCCCTTCTAAATGCCCAGGGAAACCAGGTCGTACAGGACCTGCATTCACGGAGAAGTACAGAACGTGTGTGTACCATCCGCGGACTCCTTCAATTTACTTCTGCCTTCTCCGTCCTTCTCATCCAGGTGAGGATGCTTCTAACAAAAAGAGCTAATTTTGCCACCATGCACAAATGCATCTGAACAAAAAGCACTCACCAGCTCTGCTTTCTCTCTCAACCGCAAGCCCAGGGATGGGCTCCGATTATCATACAAGTCTGCAGAGTGAGAATGCAATGTGAGGAGAAGGGCGATCCCATGAGAAGACACGGCATGCCTCTCAGAATAGCTCAGTTTAGTTTTTGGGTCTGCCCCAGAAATCAGTCACGTCACGATTCACATCTGCCCCCATTCCCCCAAAAGCGAGTCTGCTCTTTTTTGGGAAAGGTTGTCTCTTTGTCCGCGGGAACACCGAGTAGGAAGGGTTCCAGTTTTCAGTTCAGGTTTCAAGAGACTCCCGTCCTGTCACCCTCTGGCACCCATTTCACTCAAAGAGAGGAAATTAACCCAAACCAAGCACTTAGAGTAGCACTCAAAATGCTCGGAGGCAGAGTTCAGACGGAGTCGCTCGTGATTTCCTGCCAGTTACACCGGCGTTAAAACCACTGCCCTCCCCGTTTGGATCACCGCATCAGGAGAACAAAACCTGAAATATCTCAGGAGTATAAACCAAATCTGGATTACTGTTGCTCGCCAGCAAAATGTTTGCGTTATGGGTTCGATCCCCACAAAAACCCTTTGGGAGGATTTTGATGGTTTACGGGTTTTATTTTTTTAAAGGTAACACCTGAACTGTTGGCAGTACAGAATCAGACAAGTGGACAAACAAAAAGTGAGGCCAAGTGGCCAAGCTGATGAGCTGCAAGAACGTTACTGTGAGAAAAATACTTTTTTCTTAGGAAAATTGTAACATTTTTTTTCTTCCAGAGCATCCTGTTTGCTCACCTGTTCCTCAAACAGTTCCACCCTCTCCAGCGCAGCTGCGAGACATCCCCTCATTCCCGCGTTTCCCATCGATTCCCATTCCCTGGTCACCTGTCCAAACGCAACTCTGGATTTTCCACGTAGCGCAGACACAGAGGAAAGGGAGAAGAGGGAAGGGGGAAGCAGGAGGAATTCGGCTGAGCCTCTCTCCACGCTGACAGAACCCCCTGAGCGTGCGCTGGATCCAGAGCGGTGTCAGTGGGGGCAGAATTGGTCCCTCCTTTCCGAAGCAGAAGCAACCGGGTTTGGCTGTGAGAACCCGCCGTTCCACCCGCAATCCTGTGAAGTGAAACTTTCTCCGCTCACCCAACACACACGGCCCACCTGTGCGGCTTCCCCCAACGCCGCCGGTGCACGGACAAAAGAGAAGGGAGAAAGAAAATCCTCTAGAAATGTTTTACTCTTGGAAACTAGTCCTAGCTCCGAGCCTCCTTTCTCTCCGAAGTGGTCATGGGCACACGGACTCCCCAGGCTGCAATTGCTTTGGTTACTTTTCACACGGATTTTCTTGTTTTCCCAAGAAACTGCTGCGGCAAATTTCAGGTCAGGTGCCAATCCAAATAGTTGTGATCACAAAGGTTTAGCATCTCCCTCAACTTCAGCAGACTTTTTTTTTTTAAATGAACTTGTGGTTTTGATCTTTTTGTAAACAATGTTCTAATTTTTTTTGTTCCAGACGCAGATGCTTGTCAAATGCCAAAGACAACATAAATCCGGGGATCCCCTCTCTTTCAGGAGGTAACAAGATACCAAACATCAGCTGACACCTGCTAATACCCAGCTGCCGGCACCGAGAACTACTCTCTGAATATCTTTATTTTCCTTTTCCTCTCCCTGCTTACTAACCCATTACTATAAAGTAACAGTAAATAAAAGAGAGGAGCCTTGCAGACACTGGGGTCCCTCGAACGGAGAAGCCAGAGCGACTGAAAGGAGAGCTTTGCTCTCTCACGTCCCCCTAACACGAAGATCGTGACACCACCGATCTCCTGGAAAAGCATCAAAAGATACAAAGCGCAAGCTGCGGATGTCGAACTCTCAACTCCCCGGCTCAGGTGAGGGGATCTCCCATCGCCGGCGACCGCAGGCACGGCAGCGGGCAGTTACAGCTCCTTCACGGCACTGATCCACCCTGGCGCAAGGCCGGTTTTCTATCGTTTGTTAAACAAGGTTGGCAACTGGAGGGCTGACCCCGGCCAGCAGCCAAGCCCCCACCAGCTGCTCGCTCAACTCCTTGCCCCTCCGCAGCGGGATAGGGGAGAGAACGGGAAGGGCGAAAGAAGAAGAACGCGAGGGTGGAGACAAAGACAATTTAACACGTGCAGGGCGAGAAAAAAGAAATCAAGTGATGCGATGGCAACCGCTGACCACCTCTCACCAGCAGACCGATGCCCAGCCATCTTCGGGCAACGGCTGCCTTGGAAAGGCTCCCCCAGTTCTGGCGTTCTTGCTGAGCACGAGGCCGCACGGTGCGGACCGAGGGACCCCTTCGGTCAGCTCAGGGCAGCTGTCCCGGCCGTGCCCCCTCCCAGCCTCCTGCCCACCCCCAGCCAGTGCGCTGGGGCGGCAGAGCGAAAACCAGTACCTGCCAGGTCACAGTGACCGGGATTTCAACTTCAATGCCCCAGGGACAGACAAAGTGGATTTTCCAAAGTCACCCTGGGAGGGCTGGGACAGCGACGACAAGACGTTTGATTCTTCTGATTGTATCAGTAGCGTGCAAGTATTTGCACCTGCAGTGTACGTGTCCACAGGGTTTCGTGCCTCTGGGGTTTCACGCCTCTAAATTAACGACCCCAAGCATTACCCAGCACTTCGTTTAGCACCCACTAAGGTTTTCGGTCCCTGACTTTTATGGTTTGGGACCTTACGGGTTCTCTTTCACTGCTGTCAGTCCGTTGCTGTCCCACCCCAACTCTCATCCCTGCACGGGACAGGTCGGGGACTTCACTCGCTGTACAAACTCCTGCTGTGCCGGCTCTCCCTGACCCCCATGGACACCCTTCATCCCAGCTGAGAGATGGGGAATCCCTTTTTCCAGGGCCGGTGCTCAGCTGGCTGCTTCTCCAGCACAGCCCTTCCCCAAACGCACACCCAGGGCACTGCCTGTGCCCCTGACCCTGTTCCTGTCCCCCCTCACCCTGGGCACACCGGGATAGCCCTGCGGCACCCAGCAGCCATGAGCAGGAGCTGCACGAGCAGCGCTGGCCCGGCTGAGCTCCCGCAGCCAGCTGGGGTGTGTAGGGAGGCAGCCCCCTTGCTTGTGCAAGGCCCTGGCTGCGTGCGAGGTGCTTGCGAGAGGTGGTTGGGAGGGCTCTGGGCGCTCGTGTGAGGGCTGGACAAGGTGTCCCCAGGGTGCTCAAGGGAGGGGCTGGATGCTCCTTGGGTGCTTGTGCAAGGCACTGGGTGCACAGAGGGTGCCCGTGCAAGGGTTTGGCAGTGGGGAAGAGGAAGGTGCTTGTGCCAGGTCGTGCAAGGGGCCGAGTCTGCCCTCCTCCCCACGGGGACACAGGCGACCAGGGGACCCAGGCATCTAGGTGACCCGTCCTTCATCCCTACACACCTCCACCGCCCCCCCAGGGGTCTGTCCCTGCTGTGTCCCGTCCCCACCCCAGGCACAGGCAGAGGACACAAAGCACAGCTCACACGTACTTTATTTATTGTCCCCGACTGTGACAAAGGGGCTCTGCCCGGGGTGTTCACCAAGGTGAGGGGATGACACGGTGTGTCACTGGGGCCACAGGGGCAACACGGGGTGTCAGCACACATTGAAGGCATCATTGGGGTCGGGGGACAATGTGGGGTGTTACCAGGGGTGGGGGTATGATGACATGGGGTGACCCTGTGTGGGTGTGGGGACAGGGGGCATCCCTGCATGTTGCTGTGTGTGGGGACATGGGATGTCCTTGTGTGCTACCACAGGGGGAGGACACACGGAGTGTCCCCATGCACGTGTGGGGACTCACTGGGCACAGCTCT